AGTGGATAGATGGATGAATGAAATGATTGATGGATGGATGATGGATGTAGGGCTGAAACTAACGATTATTTAAATAAACGATAAATCTGTCAATCATTTTTTGTTTAATCCCCCCCCCCCCCCAAAATGTTTTAATTTCCACCTCTTTAGTCCAAAATTGAATATTTAACTGACTTAGCAAATCGCACATAAAACAGGTTGCTACTTGACTGTTGTTAGTAAAGTATTGAATAATAATAATAATAATAATAGTTAGTCACATAGCTTCAATAAAAAACAAAAATATATACAAATGTATCTTTATACCTGCACAATAAGTAGCTACTTTGTAAAATGTGTCCTTGAGGAAAGAGTGTAACCTGGATTAACCTGGATTAAAGTGTGGATCGTTGTAGGGAAGCCTTCATCTTCCACCATCGACAGAGGCCTTGTGTCAGTGACGATCATGTTCAGGATGCTTTCAGTGAAGACAGCTGCTGCTGTGGTGTCCATCATGAAGTGTCAATGTTTGTTGTTGTAAATATGTTTTATAGCATAATTTACAGAAACTCAAGAAATGCCTTGTTTCACTTACAGTGTTGGGCTCAGGCAAGTGCTGTATTTTTCAACCTATAAGTCACAGTTTATTCATAATTTACATGCCCTGCGACTTATAGGCCGAAGCAACATATTTATGGATTTTTTCCCATATTTATAAGCCATTTTTTGGCTGAGATATGACCATTTCCATTCATTCTGACTGAATAAATAAATGAATTAGAGAGTACATCTTTCAGCCACTTGATGGCAGCAGAGTCCTGCCATAGCCTCCCCACCTTGGTTCTGCTCGCTGCTTGGACCGACCGTCAATCCAGCTGCAACACCCCGGCGAAATGCAGCAAATTGACCATTAAAGTAAATTTATTAAGCAAATGTTAGACTGAGACAACTTTGCTATAATTTCGAGCAAATAAATAACTGTTTAGGTGCTTTTCTTGTTAATTTTTGGCGTAACGAGCCCCATTCCTCCTTTTTTCCTCCCTGTCTGCACGCTCCCAGGAGCACCTCAGCAGATAAACTTGTCTTTGAAATGCAGCTGATTTGACTATCAAAGTACATTTATTAAGTAAACGTTATATTGATACACACATTTAATATAATTTTCATCAAACAAATTGTTTTTAAGTGTTAAATTTGTTAAATTCTTGTTAAAGTCCTCCTGTGCACGCTCCTGCGGCTGCCATTCAGCAGCCCATCCATTTTTGGCACAACACTGGCCCACATTTCAGGGTTGTCAGTGGTGACTCGTAACAATCGCGATGCGTCAGCGTTGACACATAATAGATGCGACGTATATGGCGAAGCGACATATTTATGGATTTTTCCACTTTATTAGACAAATATGGACTGATGCGACTTATACAGCGGAGCAACGTGTACGGCAGAAAATACAGTAAGTAAGGCAAAGAGCAATTAAACACACACAAAATAATTACACACAATTGAGTAGATGTAATAAATTACTTTAATTCCTGTTTAAATGCAGTTCATCCTTCCATACAATGCAGTGTCTTCACTCAGAATTTCACAGCAAATTAAAACGTGAAGCTTAATCATGAAATCATTACCATCTCTGACTCTGACATGTTTATGTTTCACCATGCTGCTCCCATCATGCCATGTCATCACTTTTGCAAAGCTTGCATGTTGCACATTTTTTAACTTTGTGAAGCGTGAGGTGCTCCCACACTTTTGAGGACTTGGGTCGAACAGTTTTCTCGGCGTCAGTCCTTTGTAAAATTTACTTAATTTCCTTTGAAATCACCGCCTCTGCTCTGCTTCCACCTTCTGCCTCGCTCCGTTCAACTCTCTCTGCAGTTTTTTTTTTAAATTTTTTATTTACTTTATTTAGTCAGCCAGCATTGACAATGTTCTGCAGGTTAACAAAACGGCTCTACAACATGGTGAAACATGCATAATTGTGCGACACAACAAATCGATAATGAAATTTGTTGCCAACACTTTTAATAATCAATTTTTATGGATTTTTATTGATTCGTTGTTGCAGCCCTAGATGGATGGATGGATGGATGGATGGATGGATGGATGGATTGGAATGATGGATGATGGATGGATGATTGATGGATTGGATGGATAATGTTTGTATAGTGATTAATGGATGATTTGATTGATGGATGGATGGATGATGTTTGTATAGTGGATAGATGGATGGATGGATGAATTGGAAGAATGTGCCAGCCACTAGGGAGCACAAACCAGTGTATCTCTTTAGTGTATCTCTTGTGCCGGTCCCAAGCCCGGGTAAATGATCAGGTTTGTGTCAGGAATGGCATCCAATGTAGAACACTGTTGCCAAAACCATAATCTGACATCATCAAAGCAAAACCATACTGGATCGGTCGAGGCCTGGGTTAACAACGACTGCCACCGGTGCTGTTGACAAACAGGGTGCCGGCAGAAATTGTGCTACTGTTAGTGGAAGACCACGAGGAGGGAAACGTGTCAGGAGACAGAGGAGAAGAGGAAAGTGAAGAATGTAGGACTGAGGGTTGCAACTCTAAATGTGGGGACAATGACAGGCAAAGGTAGAGAGCTGGCTGACATGATGCAGAGAAGGAAGGTAGATGTTTTATGTGTCCAAGAGACCAAGTGGAAGGGCAGCAAGGCTCGCAGCATTGGAGCAGGGTTCAAACTGTTTTACCATGGTGTGGATAGAAAGAGAAATGGAGTAGGGGTGGTCCTCAAGGAGGAGTTGGCAAAGAATGTAGTAGAGGTGAAGAGCATGTCAGATAAGGTGGTTTGCCTGAAGGTAGAAGTAGAAGGTCTGATGTTAAATGTCAGTGGTTATGTTCCACAGGTTGGATGTGATGGGGAGGAGAAAGATACATTTTGGAAAGATCTGGATGAAGTGATAGAGAGTATTCCCAGGAAGGAGAGAGTGGTGATGGGAGCAGACCTGAATGGACATGTTGGTGAAGGAAACAGAGGGGGTGAGGAAGTGATGGGTAGGTTTGGTGTCAAGGAAAGAAACCAGGAAGGACAGATGTTGGTGGATTTTGCCAAGAGAATGGAAATGGCTGTAGTTAATACCGCTTTCCAAAAGAGGGAGGAACATAGAGTGACCTATAAGAGTGGAGGAAGGAGTATGCAGGTCGACTACATTCTGTGTAGAAGAGGAAACCTGAGGGAGACTGGAGACTGTAAGGTTGTGGCAGGGGAGAGCGTGGCCAGACAGCATCGGATGGTTGTGTGAAGAATGACTGTTGTTGTGAAGAAGAGACAAAGAGTAAAATCAGAGAAGAAGACCAAATGGTGGAAGTTGGAGAAGCAAGAATGTTGTGAGAAATTCAGAGAGGAGCTGTTAAAGGCTCTGGGTGGTAAGAAAGAGCTTCCAGATGACTGGACTACTACAACAGCAGTAATTATAGAGACAGGTAGGAAGGTACTTGGTGTGTCATCTGGACAGAGAATGGCTAAGGAATCCTGGTGGTGGAATAGTGACATGCATGATGCCGTTCGAAGAAATATGACAATGAGAGGACTTAAGAGAGGAGACAGGAATATAAGGTGATGGGATGTAGATCAAAGATTAAGGTAGCTAAGGCAAAGCACAAGGTGTACGATGAGTTGTATGGGGGACTGGACACTAAAGAGGGCGAGAAGGTCTTGTACCTATTGGCAAGACAGAGGGATCACGCTAGAAAGGATGTGCAGCAGGTTAGGCTTATTAAAGATAGGAACGGTAATGTTCTAACAAGTGAGGAGAGTGTGACGGGAAGATGGAAGGAGTACTTTGAGGAGCTAATGAATGAAGGGAATGAAAGAGAAAGAAGAGTAGAGGTCATATAAACTGTGGACCAGGAAGTGGGAAAGATTAGTGAGAGTGAAGTCCGGAAAGCTCTGAAAAGAATGAAGAAGGGGGAAGGCAGTAGGACCTGATGACCATTGGAGGTTTAGAAATGTCTTGGAGAGATGGCAGTGAGGTTTTTGACTCAAATATTCAATGGCATATTTGAGGGTGAGGAAATGCCTGAGGAATGGAGAAAAAGTGTGCTGGTGGCCATGTTTAAGAACAAGGGTGATGTACAGAGTTGGAGCAACTACAGGGGAATTAAATTGATGAGCCACACGATGAAGATCTGGGAGAGAGTTGTGGAAGCAAGACTTAGACGAGAGGTGACTGTGAGCAGCAGTATGGTTTCATGCCAAGAAAGAGCACCACAGATGCCATCTTTGATTTGAGAATGATGATGGAGAAGTACAAAGAAGGTAAGGAAGAACTCTATTGTGTCTTTGTGGATTTAGAAAAAGCATATGACAGAGTGCCAAGAGAGGAGGTGTGGTATTACATGAGGAAATCTGGAGTGACAGAGAAGTATGTTAGACTGGTACAGGACATGTATGAGGACAACGGGACAGTGGTGAGATGTGCTGTAGGAGTGACAGATGGCTTCAAGGTGGAGGTGGGAGTGCATCAAGGATCGGCTGTGAGCCCCTTCTTGTTTGCTCTGGTGATGGACTGACTAACAGATGAGGTCAGGCAAGAATCCCTGTGGACTATCATGTTTGCAGATGACATTGTGAACTGTGGTGAGAACAGGGAACAGGTGGAAGAGAACTTGGAGAGGTGGAGGTATACACTTGAAAGAAGAGGAATGAAAGTCAGCCATAGTAAGACAGAGTACATGTGTATGAATGAGAGGAAGGCCGGTGGAACAGTGAGGCTACAAG